TGAGCACGCTACTGCGATTGTAGTCAATTATCTTCTATGCTGGTAATGCCCGTTTATAGCAATATGTCATACCGTTTGTTATTCACGTTCCCTTTACCTGTATGTGTGATTAATTGCTTGATTTTCCCTTTTTTAGATGGCTCTTTATCCGAGTTTCGAGAGTCTTACTATAGGGAAAGAAGTAAAAGCCCAGAATGAGTTCGCTCAATCGCTTGCCACTTCGGTTAGGCAGGACCCGAGTGCTACTGTTCGGGCAAACTATGGGGAATTGGCTATGAACTTCCTCGGCTTGGATCTTTCCCGGGTGATCTATGACCAATATGGAAATGCTATTTACCCTGACCCCAGTTGTCCAGAAACAGCCGTCGCATCAGCTCCAGGTTCTGCGGTCGCGCCACCTCCAGGATCTGCAATCGCAGCTCAGCCTGGCCTCTCTGGACCACTTGTGAAACTGAATCCAGCCATTGTAACTAACGCCGTGCGCGAACTCACTTTACAAAAGGACAAGAAAGGCAGGCTGGGCATCCAGCTCCGTGACCTCGATGGCGGTATCATCGTTTCCTACGTTGAGTGTGAGGGTGGTGCTGCATTAAGTGGACTTCGATTTGGCGATCAAGTTCTGTCCATCAATGGAGTTGTTGTGGCCGGATTTTCAGGTCCCAAAGCCATGGATCTAGTAAAGCAGTCTCCATCAACTGTCGTTTTCGTCATCCGAGATCGGTAGGTTGTATAAAAGTTCTTGTCTGCGCTTTCTGTCTTTGTGACCTTTATCATTAAGTTACTTGCCTTCTCCCACCCTTCTTTAGGCCCCTTGAAAGGAACGTAACACTGACCAAGAGTAGTAGTGGAACCGTCGGAATTGTGGTCAAACATGGAAAGGTTTCTGCCATCGTTAAGGATTCCAGTGCAGCTAGAAATGGTGTCCTCATTAATAACCACATTCTGGAAGTTAACGGAAGAAATGTCATTGGTATGAGTGACAAGAGGATTGCGAACTACCTGGACTCAATAGGCCCCACCATCAACATCACTCTCATGCCTTCGTTCTTCTATGACCACCTTATTAAGAAGTAAGTAGTTAACGCCTTTTTCAAGTTTTGAGTGACTATGTTGCCATTGAATTGCATATACTACCTCTCGACACTTTGTTCCATTGTAGACTGGGACGGTCCGACCTCAAGAACATGGACCGATCTGCGCCTGTGGTCTAGTTTTAAATTTGATTCCAGAGCTTTTCTTTCATCACCGTGAATTTGTCATCACAACCTTTGTCCGTCCCCCCACCCAAATTCGACTCCCAAGTAGCTTTGGCAGTCCTTTATTGGGTTTGCGCTCTCGCTTTGTTCCTCCATGTAAACTAACTGACCCTCATCTGGAGAGCACCATGTTGACTTATTCAGTTTATTTTATAGTTTTTAACGCAGGTAAACGTAACATCAGTTACATTTATCTGAGCTTTTTTTCTCGCTTATAACCTATTACTTTAATCATTTGTTGTGCCATTTCATTTATTTTTCTGTCTGCTCATCCGTGTGCGGGTTCGTCTTATAATTTCTACCATATGTAAGTACTATCAATGGGTTTCAGACGGAGTTCGTGTGTTCCTGCTGTGGTGCACGTTCTTCTTAAACTCCTCTTTTACGACTGGTCTGTTATTGCCAAAGTTTTCCGCCATCTGCTCTTGATTGCAAATTTTGCTCTCGTCTTCGGCTGCCTATCTGTCATTCCAACAATGTTTTGAGAATTTCAGAGGAATTTACATGTCTTTTCGGTATCGTCTTGAGCTATCTACTCTCCTCTTGCATCAATACAACCAGCACATAGCCTCATAGGCTTACTCCTGGAGACTCTTGATCCAACAAGGGCTACAACACACGCAGGCTTACTCCTTCAACAACAGACCTCGCAGGGTGGTGAAGACTCATGATTTTAGTCCGTCCGAGTCAGCTTAAGCTGAGAAGCATCCTCTTAGGTCGTAGGCACTATGCCCTTTCGTCGCACTCCCTGGTCTTTGC